TCGGCATAGTCAAGGACTGGGGGCTCCAAGGAAGTCAGCAAACAGATGAGGCAAAGGGACTCTGGGAAGGAAAGAGAGCAGAAAAGGCCCAGTTAGCTGCCTTTTAAGGTAGAAATTAGGGGAGAAATTGTGCCTAGTAGGGGTGGACCCCACTACTCCCTACACTGACAGAAGAACTTTTCCCTGGGACCTTCCCTCTGGGCAAGCCCAAACCAGGGTGGTCCTGGAAGCAGTCATTCTTCCTGGGTCTGGATGGACAGGGAGAAAGGTCTCTGCCCTGTGATTGTTTAGGTGCCTGGGCTGAACTTCACCCCAACAGCTCATACCCAGTGGTAAAGACAAAACTGGAGGAGTCTGGAGTTTGAAAGACAGCTGCTCTGTGAGTTAGAACTTCAGGAGAATGCTCAAGTCTGCTTCTGATAATGGCCTTGAGGGAAAACGTTGTCCCAAACCAAGAACTTTCTATTGAAAGCTACAGGTAAAACTAATGGATAACTGGACTTCTTTCACAACTGTGGGAAATAGAAGACCATCCTCTAGTGAGACTGAGGACAGATGCCACCTTCAGATAGAGAATGGCACTTATCCACCTAGAGAAAAAGCAAGTGCAGAGGGTAGGAGGATGGATTCTGGAGCTGTATTGCCTGAATTTGAACACCACTTCCATCCCTTAACTGTGTCACATTGGGGAAATTTACTTCTCAGGGCCTGAGTTTCTTCCTGTGTAAAATGGGAGTGATAACCTGTTGTGTCCCTCAGAGTCACTAGGTGGATTAAATACGTCAATACTTGCAAAGTGCTTACAGTGGTACCTGATACATGGTAAGTCCACATAAGCATGTGCTCTTACGATTTATGAGCAAAACACATACATTGGCCAGGTGCAGTGGCTCTTTACGCCTGTAATTCCAGCACTTTGGGAGGCCAAGGCAGGCGGATCACAAGGTCAGGAGTTTGAGACCATCCTGGGTTAACACGGTGAAACCCCCCCCCTACTAAAAATACAAAAAATTAGCCAGGCATGGTGGCACATGCCTGTAGTCCCAGCTACTTGGAAGGCTGAGGCAGAAGAATCCCTTGAACCCTGGAAGAAGAGGTTGCAGTGAGCCAAGATTGCGCCACTGCACTCCAGCCTTGCAACAGAGTGAGACGCCGTCTCAAACCAAAAAAAAAAAGAAAAGTGATACATTGACTATACAAGGGGACTAATCAGATGGGGAATCCTGCATGGTCCAGTGTCACTCAGTGATTCAGAGCACAGCTGGGCTGTGAAGTCAGAGAGACTGAGGATCAAATCCTGATTCTGATTCTCACTTAGTGTGTGACCTTGAGCAAGTTACTTTGAGACTCCAAACTTATTTCCTCATCAGTAAACTAAAAATTATAGTACCTACCTCAAAGAGTAGTCAAAAGGGTTCAGTGGGTAAACTAAGTGAACCATGTAACATCATGCAGAGCAACATATAGCCAGCATACAATAAATTCCAGTTATTACATTACAAGGACTCATGCTTTCATCCAACAATGATCACTGGGTTCCATAAGGGCAGACACCTGGTTTCAGAAACCCTAGTGACCTTTACACAAAACTCCACCCACCTTCTGTATGAGAGGAGAGGGTAAGGAGGATGGAGAAAACCACCTCCTGCCACTTCCCATAAGTTGTTGATTGGGTACATTTTCTATTCACTGTTGTTCATAGCCATAACAAATATAGATGCAGCTGCAGCTCCTCAGGTCTGTCACCCAAAAGAAAGGAGGGAATTGTGCAGGCCACAAGGAAAGAACTGGGATTTTGCGAACGTCCTCAAAGCACACTCCACACTATATTCTGCTTATTTAATGTCAGATCTGTACCATCACCTTTCTTTTAGGCTGGCAAGGGAAAGTATACCCAAAGACTGGGGAGAAGCCCAGCACAGTGGCTCACACCTGTAATCCCAGCACTTTTCGAGGCAAAGGTGGGCGTATCACCTGAGATCAGGAGTTAGAGACCAGCCTGGCCAACATGGTGAAATCCTATCTCTACTAAAAATACAAAAATTAGCTGGGTGTGGTGGCAGGCACCTGTAATCCCAGCTACTTGGGAGGCTGAGGCATGAGAATCACTTGAACCCGGGAGATGGAGTTGCAGTGAGCCAAGATTGTGCCACCGCACTCCAGCCTGGGTGACAGAGTGAGACGCTGTCTCCAAAAGAAAAAATGAAAAAAAGAAAAAAACAAAGACTGGGGAGGGAAAAAGTTTGGTGAGGGAGGGAGAGAAAAAAGCTGGGCAGTCAGCCTCAGGGAGTCAAACGCAGCAAGGCAAACAAAATATAAGCAAGCTTTCCCCAGAAAGTCCCAAACTTTAGGCAGAAAAATGAATGAAACCAGGGACCAGTAGAAGCACCACTGAGTATCTAAAATCCAAAAGTTAGGGTGTTAGGCAATTAAAATTTAGTCCTATTTTTTATGCTTTTTCAAACACTGCATTCACAAAAGCATTTAAATACCCTTTCAAACTTGTTTAGGAGTAGGAAAAAGGGAAACCATATTAACTGCAGTAATGTTGGTGCACAGATCCAGTTTTAAAACATCCCTACACCTGCCCATTCATCTTTAGACTGCAAGGGAGGCACATGATCTTTGAAAACTGATTGGAAATGTTAATTTAGAGTGAATGGAGCTTTCAAGATCCAGACAGTACAAATTCCAAGGGAACAAACTCTTCCTACAGGGGTCACAAATTCTTCTTTGAGATGTTACTACTTGGGAAATGTTCTGTGAGAGGGAAAAATAGTATTTTTATTGGATTCGTGTAAAAATAACAGTACCAAAGAAAGTTCCTGAATTATAAAGAATGAAGCTAGAAATAAACAAATACTTCTGAAAGGTGAATTTGACAAAGTGCTTAATACAGTGGCCAATCAGAAGCTGGATTAGAAAATGTGAAAATTTATGTGATGTTTCCTACTTCCCTAGCAACCACAAAATCAGACCTAAGTCAAAATCCACCATAGGCACCCTGGAGAATTGCTATTAAACCAGTAGTAGTGATCGCTTTTTCCTGGACTCCTCTTTCTAGGCTGCCAGGTCCTCTAATGGACGCCTTCCTAGGGTCCCACAGGGTGAGTCTCGGCTTGGGAGAGGGGAGTAACCGATGTGTGTGTAGCTTGGAGTCACTGATGCACCGGACTGCAATGTCTTCCAGTCCCCAACCCCCAAGAACACTTCCCATCTGGACAGTGCCCACTCCCGCATCAAGGTCTCCTCTCAGCCTAGTGTGACACATCAACTGAGTCCACAGGGAGCTAAGGAGGAAGGCGTGGACCAAGGTCATTACGTGGGAACCATCCCAACAGCCCGCCTGATGGCTACCAGAATAACAGCAATGACACCCTGGCAATGGGCGCGAACAGCTACTCAAGAAGAACTCAACGGCCCTGCTGCCAGTTTTGCTAGGGAAGGAGATTCACCTCAGAGAATAAGTGCGAATCCTGCCTCCATTCCAGAGACTTGACCCACCGAAGGGAGGCGCTGAGGTGGCAGGCTTGGGGCAGCATGCCGCGCCTGTGGTGCAGAACAGGAATGATTTCTAGCTAGGGAGGCAGAAAAAGAAGGATGGAAAGGTGCGACCATTTCGTGTCCTTGCCCACCGCCTGCCTCCCCCCGCCCCCAAAAAAAAGTGTGATGAGGAATCCAAGATTCGAACAGATAAACCGGATGTTCTGGGGAGAAAAAGAAAAAAAAAGTTTCCCCAGTCCGCGCGCCTCAGGCGTTAGAAACAGAAGGGGCACGTCCCTGCTCTCTCTAGAAAGTCCCAGGAAGGAGAACCCTAGGTGCGAGAGCCAGGCCAGCCCCGGGCTCACTCTCCTAAGGGCAGCAAGGGCCTGGGGCTGCGCCTCGCTCCGGATCCAGGACTCCCGCCCCTCCTCCACCTGCGGGACTGGATAGTCCCCCAGGCGCAGCCACTCCCCCACCCAATCTCCCAGGGCAGGCGCTTTTCCTTCCTTCATGACCTCACTACCTCCTTCCCTTGACGTCAGCCCCGGGTCCCCGCGCGGAGGGGCGGGAGGATGGAGATGGGTTTGGGGGCAGCCGGTGTCAGGATCCCCAAGCACCCGGGAGGAGGGGGCTATGAGGTCATGCGCGCCCAATCCCGGGCCGCACAGGCCGCGCGCCGCGGCTCCACGGCCCCCGCCCCACCTTCCAGCCCCGTGCGGGCTGGTGTGCGCCGCAGTTACTAGGCAACCCTATCGCAAACGCGGGCGGCCGGCCAAGTTCACCCAAAGTTGAAGTAGAAATTTGGGGGAGAGAAGGTGGAGCAAGAGGCGAGAAGAGGAAGCACGGAGCGGGAAAAAGCTTGGAAGGGAATGAAGCTGGCCTTGGGCCTCCCGCGCACAGGAAGAAGGTCCCACGCAGGCCAGGGCAGCCTCCCCGTAGGGCCCTGTTGCAACCCGACCTCCGTCCCGCACCCAGGCCGGAGGCCCACCCCAGAGCGTAGCAGGGGTGCTGGGAACCACGCCCACAAATCGCTGCCGCGGGCCGAAACCCTGGAGGGCTGAGGTGGGGAAGACTGTGGCCAAGGCTGTGGCCGAGGGTACGCGCCTTCGCGGTAGTCTGGCCGGTGTAGTCTGGCCGGTGTAGTCTGGCCATTGGATGGGTTTGAGGTCTCAGAACCGTGTGGGAGTGAACTCCTTGTTTAATCTTTAGTCCCGATGAAGGTAAACTCCTCCCAGTAAAGACCTTCTAAAAATAATAATAACTTTTCAAGCGCCGCTCCCTCTTCAGCTCGAAACAGTAATTGCCCTCATTTGTGCACAAAATAAGAACAACTCAGAGACCAGGAAGATCAGCTTTAATTTCCTCTAAGTAGTAGAATGGAGTCGAGGCGTCCCGTGCCTCCAAGACCCTGCATGCCGCAGTCAGGGCTGCCCAGCTGGGGTATTCTAAAGTCTGCCGGCTCGTGCGTCCCCTCCAGAGTCCCAGGGACCCAGACGCAGAGCGCAGCGCCTTCCTACCTGCTGTAGGGCGTCCTCAGCAGCAAAGCCTGGCTGCCGGTGCAGCTGTCGGTGGGGGTGTGGCAGCCGTAGACCGGGGGCGGCACCGAGTACTGCTGCTCACCTGCAAAGAGAACCGAAGACAGCTGAGCGAGTGCGCCCCAAGGGCTCGGGGTGCGAGGCTGCGGGCAGGGGTTGGGGGAGACGCGAGATCCAGAGCCTGGGGCACTGGGGCCTGGATGAGCGGCGTGCAGAGCGAGGCGTCCAGAATGCGAGAAGCTAAGCCTCTCACTTTACATTCCCCTAGCAGTCGCTGCGCGGTGCGCCCAAAAGGCCCTCCGGACATTCATAGACTTAGTTGGAGGGCGATGTCCCTAAGGTACTTAGGATGGAGGGATACCCAGTCTTGTCCTTTAAACACAGTGCCATTGGGGTAATGATTTCTAAGGTCCTTTTAGAGGTCTTCCTTTGCCTAATTTGCTGTGGGTTGGGAATTCCTGGGGGGAAAGGGGGATAGCATGGAAGAAGGGGAGGACTCCACTTGGTTCCCGCTCGCTTACCCAGCGAGCCCTGCTGGCCCATGGGATCCTCATGCTTGAAGGAGTGGTTGGGGAACTGCGCCGCGTGGTGTGAAGGCGTGTGACCGTAGCTGGGCGTCCCGTCGAAGGTGACCGTGCTGTAACCTGCGGGAGCGGCGGAGAGAAGCACAGTGTTAGCGGGGCTCTAGCAAGACAGGGACAGTGGGTCTGAACCAGCCACAGGCGGGGGATGTGTGCTGAACCCCGCATTCGGACCCCCAGCGGAGGAGAATCCAGCCCCACCAGCCTCCAGGACTTTCGGCGGGAAGACGGCCCAAGTCCCTGGATGTGACCTCAGGACAGGCTTCTCCATACTTTTCTGACTAAAACGCCGACCTCGCTTTTTCCCAGTTTATTTATGCCTCAGTCTTTTTTTCTGGGCGGGGGATGGTGGTGTGTGTGCATGAGTGTGCATGTGTTTCGAAAATGGAGGTAACGATGCCCTGGGCCCTGCTTATTTAAGCCTCGGTCTCTGCCGCTTCTGCAGCGAACCCCTGGCAAGTTAAATATAAAACTCGTTGCCTGATCGACAGAGAAAGTTGGTCAAGCCCAAAAAACAAACTCCGCAGCTCTCCCGCAGGAGCAGCGCGGGCAAGCGAAATGAATCTGCTGGGCTAACCCCGCGCTGACTCCGAGCTGTAAATCAGGGGCCCGCGCACCAACTTTCATTAATTACTCGGAGCCAGTTAAATGGCTTGGTCTTAAAAATGGGAAGACTAATTACCGAGTAATGTTATCTGTCTGGGACTACCCAACCTGACACCACGACACCCGAGGCCCAAAGGAAAGCTGGTGAGGGGGAAAACAAGGGCCCCTTCCAGTTGGGTCTTCAGATGGCGACCCTGCGCTCTCCTTCCCCTCCCCCTATGGGACCCACCTTGCGCCCAGGGACCCTCCTTGCGCCCAGGGATCCGACCCTGACCACTGCTGTAGGAGCCAACTTCCTTGCTCCCGAGGCTGGACAACCAGTTTCCTTTAGAGTGTGCCTGACACTGTATCTCCCTTTCCCTCCATGGTAGTGCTTGGGTCCTTTGCCTCAGTTTCCCCCCCAGGGCAATCCTGGCATTTTTCCCCATCTCTCCTAAAGTGAGAAAAAGAGCGTGGAGCCTCAGTTGGAAAACATAGTCTTTTATAAGTTTTGTTATTAAATTGCTTTAAACATATGCCCCACAAGCTTCTGGAAAGCTGTTGCTGCCTCTGGGGAAAAGGATCCTTCCGCTAAAGATCCTCACTGGCCCTGGACCCCAAGGTGGGGTCCCATTCCTCTACAAGTTCGGGAGTCTGTGGCCTGAGGTCTAGGCACAATGGCAAAGGAGAGCTGCTCCTATGGGATCCTGGCAGGGCCACCCCACCAACCTCAGATCCTCCTGGCCCAGCGACTGCCCTGGGTCTCCAAACTTCACAAAATTCTCAGGAGTAAGTTGGGGCAGACAGCACCCATTCTCCCACTCTTGCGCGATTTTATCAAAGTGCCTCCAAAGACTTAAGCAGGATTCAACCGAAGAGCAGGACCCAGGGCATCCTTACCTCCATTTTCGAAACACACACGCACACTCATGCACACACACCACCATCCCCCGCCCAGAAAAAAAAAAAAAGCTTCTTGGGGCAACAGAGGCATAAGCCTGGAGGGTGGTGTGGCAGAGTGCAAGGGAGGGAAGGAGGGGACAAATCCTAACTCCCTGGTAGTACAGGTCCAGGCTTAAGTCTCACACACCGCTCAGCACCACAAGTTGGGGATTTGAGAAGCCACCAGCTTTTATCATCTGCATGACCCCGAGGGCCTCCATTTCTCGCCTGCTAAGTGGGCAAAGATAACCCCCGCCCCGTTAGCTCTCGGGCGTTGGTGAGCACGTTTGGGCTTCCAGAGACTTCCTTTTGAAACCTGAGGCCTGGCCCTCTTTGAAGACTACAGATCAGCTTACAAACGAATTTGGCTCCGGGCACCCACTATTGCCCGGAGGGAAGGCCGATTTTCTGAAAGGACACTAAAAAGAGAGAGAGAAGAAACAGAAGCTACTAAGAAGTTTTCTCTAGGCGAACCCTTCTCCATTTCTGAGCCGAGGAGTAGGCAGGGACCCGGGGCACTGCACAATCCTCAGAGCCCTGCTCCGCAACCGTCCGTGCCCGGCGAGGGCCGTGGGTCCCAAATTGCGGCACCCACTCTAGCGACGTCCGTCCGCACCCCAGAACTCGGGCCCAAGTATGCCCGTGGCCCGCGAGGCCTCCTAGGCTCCCCTCCCAGACGGGATCTGCAGACCTCGGCGGGCAGAGACCGGCCTCGAACCCCCTCCTTCAGGTTCCCCCGGGAGGGGCAGTGGTGAAAGCGCCTGTGGAGTGGAGGGAGGTCTCTTTTAATTAGAAGCTTATCGGACGCGGGTTTGATTAGAGCGCGCTGTCCCTGGGCCCAGCGCTGGACCTGGCGCGGAGAGTGCGGGGGCAGGGGCCGGGGGAGGTACAGCTGCTGGCTGGAAGGAGCAGCGTGTTCAAAGGCTCCTTGTACAGGCCTTGGGGGGAGAGAATCGAGTGGCCAAGGTAGCGCCTTTCCCACGGTTAGTCCCAGCCCGGGAGGGGAGCACAACCTTGACCGCGAGCGAAGAGGTGAGACGCGCTCTGCGCCCTCCACTCCCGCCCGCGGCTGCAGAGAAGCCGGGAACCGACTGGCCCAGCCGGGCCGGGAGAGCTGAAGGGTGAAATGGACAGCAGGCTCAGCCAGGAAGGTGCTCAGAAGGCTGAAAACGATGACTGCAGCTGCACCGTGATTGGGGAAAACCTGTCCCCCAACAAAATACCCTCTTCTATGTGACCGGAAGGGGGAGCCTTTGCCCTCCGGCTTCACAGCCCTCCGCACCTGACCCTATGGTGGCCTGATGATCCCAGGTCTAATCATGCGTTAGGCGTCTGCGAGCTTGCGGGGCTGCGGGATCAGTAGACTAGCAAGCAATCTCTCTCTCTCTCTCTCTCTCTCTCTCTCTCTTTTTTTTTTTTTTGAGACGGAGTTTCGCTCTGTCGCCCGGGCTGCACTGCAGTGGCGCGATCTCGGCTCATTTCAACCTCAGCCTCCCAGGTTCAAGCGATTCTCGTGCCTCAGGCTCCCGAGTAGCTGGGATTATGGGCGCCCGTCACCACGCCCGGCCAATATTTTTTTGTATTTTTAGTAGAGACAGGGTTTCGCCATGTTGGCCAGGCTGGTCTCAAACTCCTGACCTCAGGTGATCCAACCGCCTCCAGCCACTGCGTCCGGCCCAAGGAAGTTTTTTTTCCCTCCTCCTTAAGCCTTGCATCTAGTCTGGGGCTACTCAAGTCCTCGCCCCACATCTGCCCTCACAAACCCGTCAACCCCCACACAAGGACTAAGAGTTTGCTGCCCCTCCCTCGGGCCAGAAGAAATCCATCTCAACGGTGGGGCCAAGATCCCTGGAAAAGGAGTAGAAACACCCTAGAATGGTCTGGATTCAAATACCACCTCTGCCACCTAATCTCATAGAACCTGTATTTCCTCATCCAAAAAAAGGGGCTTCTCCAGGATTAGCTGGTGAGTTTCTTGCAAAGGTTCTTGAGGCCGTTGTATTCAGTACCCAGTGCCTGGCCAGTAGGCGATTGATATTTGCTAAATTAATGTTTACAAGATTAGGATGCCAGATATAATATTTAAGAAATTAAAATATGAACATGCTTGTGAAGTTTTGGGTGGTTGTGACTGGGCACCAGCAATTGCTTCTGCCTGTGCGCCATGGCTAGGCTGCCCTCGGGATCCAGAGACGGCCTTGATTCCTCTCCCCTGGGGTTTGGCCTTGGCGCTCTGATGGCCATTTCCACATTTTTGAGAGAGTTGATGCCCTTGCCTCTCACAGTCCAAGTCTTGGGCCAGGCCCTGCATCTCCTGGGGAAGCAGCAGGAACCCTGGAAATCAAAATAATTGTTGCCCACTCCAGGATAGCAGCCGCAGCACTCCTCACATCCAAGCTGCCCAGTGAGCCTCAAGGGCTGAGTAAGCTCGACCCATCTGTTTTCATTGCAAGACAAAACTTAAACCTGGAGATAGTGCTTCCAGGCTGTATGACTTGAATCTGGGGCCCTCTCTCCATTGGGCTTTTTCTCCAGGGTGGAGAAGGAGGATACATTCACCTGCTAGTCCTGGTCCCCTTTTAACTTTTTCTCTGTGACAGCCACGCCTGTGTATTACAGAGGAATCCAGATATTTTCCAGAAATGTAATGCCTGCTAACTGCAAAACCCACAGTCCCGCCCCCCACGATGTGTGATAAGATCCCAGGCACCAGACCTGCCCTGAAGAGGGCTGGACAAGGGACCCAAACTGAAGCGACAGAGCCCAGGTTTCAAAAATCCCCTAGAAGCACTAAAAAGATAATGGCATAGTAGTATTTTGTACCCCGGGGGCATGGATTCGATGGTTTCTCAACCACCTCCAAACAGCACACATGCAGACAGAGATTCATGGCTTCTCAGTCACAGATGTTTAGATGGGTTGCCGAGTTCCATATTTAAAGCCCCAAGAGGGTGGTGGGTCGCGCTTCTGCATCTGTGGAGTATAACTTCAAGCCGGACCTAATCTCCAGGTTGCCCATCTCAGCTGTCGTCTTATAGACGGGGATACTGAGACCTAGAAACTCCCCAAAAGTAACACCAGCCTGCTAAACAAAGGTGGCGCGATCTGATCAAAGAACACAAGCCTCAGCGACAGTAAGTTGCCCCAACGCCCCTTGAGTACAAAACACTAATTTCACCAACTAAGGGCATAGAGTGGAGGCAACCCTTGGGTCTGCTTGCGGTTCCTTCGCAGGACACTGATCCCAGATTCTCCGGAAGAAAAGGCCGGTTTCGATTTCTCCAAGGCTTCTGGTGGGCCCGTGCTCCTGGTTAGGCTAAGGTAGGAGCAGCCTGAAGACGCGCGTTTAGAAGGCGCGGGTGAAGGCGGGCAACAAGGGCAGAGCCCTTCTTGAACCGAGCCTTGGGCGAAGGTACCTCCCGCAAAAGATACACTCTGCTTCCCACGCATTCCAAAAACATCCCAGTCCCGAGGCCCTCGAGTAATTTTGCTCCAGGAAAAGCATCCGCCACTGTATTAGTAAAGCGTTTACTAAATTACCGAATCAAACCGAACTGGCTTAGGTTCTCAATAGCGCGGAAATCCACTGAAAATAAGAGAGAGGGCAAACTACAGTGGCTCCGCAGGATCGGGTCCGCGCAGCCCAGGCTAAAGAGAGATGGGCGGGCGCCGGCACAGGATGAGAAACCAACCTGATACTTATCGTGTGCAGAGTTCCCTCCTTGTATCCTGACTAAGCACAGCGAATAATCCTGTCTTTGTTCTAACCCCAGGTCTTGAAGAAATATTGTCCCAGCTGAGCCTCGCGTTTACAAGATTAAGAGGCGCCCCAGATGGGCTGAAAGAAAGGCCAAAGCTCGTGTGTCTCCTTCTCCTGCCTGTGGTAGAACCTGGTCCTGCATAGCTTGGAATCGGACAAGTCAAGTTTCTTTCACCCCCAGAACCTGTGTGGCCGCCGCCTAAGCAAAGCCCAGAAAAGATCCACTTCTGTATTACCACACGCGGGAGTTATCCGCGGACACGACGCGGTTCCAGAAAGCCATTTAGTTACTGGCGGTGCATTTGCTCATTCTAGCTCTCCACGATACTTAATATGAACCTAGTGTGTGCCAACACCGTATTACAAGGGCTGGAGGTGCTCCTGGACATTTTAGCGCGGCGGAGGCAGCACAGCACAGGCGCTCACTCCGCCCTGGTCCCACTCCGAATCCAGAGTCCGGACGTCTGAAAAGCCCAATGCTTGGTGACAATTTGGTGTTGCCTTAATCAACAAAACCTCTTCCCGAAGCAGAGCCAGACACTGCGTTGGTTTCCTGGTCCCACTCCCGTGTGACTACCAGTCCCGGAATCTCTCGGACTCTCAGGGGCCCCAGACGACCTCCCGGCTCATGCGAACAGTCAGGCTCCCAGCTCTGCCTGGCTTTGGAGGATGTCGAGGGCCCGTGCCTGCGTTCACTCCCACTCCCCAGCCTCCTCCCCAGCCACCGCTTCCGCTACCCTCACGGCCCTTGGGAAGCAGCTGGGTAAGAGCTGCGGTCAAAAGGGGTAGGAGGAGGGGGATGTCCTAGAGCGGCGAGCACCTGGCGCCACTGCCCCGCGCGTAGGGGGCGCTCCCCGGCCTACTTACCCTGATTGCGAATAGCGGGCTGGCTCTCCAGGCAACTGGGCAGGTAGGGCGCGTTAGGAAACATCCTGGCCTGGCCGGTTGACGCCTGGCTGGGCGGAGGAGGACCGAAGGGCCCGTAACGACAGGCTCCGGCTGTGCCAGTGAACTGGCCGGAAAAGTGGACAGTGAAGGCGCTCAGGCACTGCTCCTCGTGCGGCTCCGCGCCGCCCCAGCTCGGCTCCTGTTTGATGAAGGAGTGAGGCGG